GCCTTACTTTATTTAGTCACATATCAGTCCCAAACACATGAAATTAAACCCCCATATAAATCGTCATTGTTATTAAGTTTCACAATTCGAAAGACAATTATTGTTCACACTGACAACATAGAAGCAAGAATTGAACAGCATTTCTCTTAATTTTTTACACTGTATTCATGAGTCTCCAATAAATTGTTTTTTATGAGTCTACATCGAATTCCTTACATGGATGTTCATCATTGAGACAAATTAGACATAAGTGAAAAGAGTTTGTACCTTCTATTATTTCGTTTAAAATAGATTGGGCGGTCAGTAGATTATTCGTTGTAATTGTAGGCGAAATGTAGTCTATCTGGCATAGATCTAATCGTAAACTTCGGGACATTTACTGTCTTTGGAAACAGATAAAGTTTTGCTACTTCTAGAGTGGCTCGTTTCCCCTTCATTCACACCAAATCGTAAAAAATATTGCTATTAACTTAATTCCACCTCTTTTGCTGTATTTGTTTTTAAAACGAACTTCAGAGTAAATACTTTGAAATTGGAGGTACAACACCCTAAACTGGACTGTGAGCACAGTTAGTCTTTTCGGTAGATCCGCTGTGTGGACGACATCTTCATCATCGACAAAAAGGACAAGCCGGAAAACACCTACAATCTGATCAACAACAAAAACGTAGCAAACGTAAACTATTGGGTAGTGTCTTTTATAACCATACAGGAAATAGCTCACACATTCTCATAGATTGGCGGCCTGCTTGAATATCTGGGCTACCTGTTTCTGCCATCTAATTATTTCAACAAGTTATCTGTTTTTTAAATTTGTTTTAACTTATTATTATGTCCATTAATCACATAACCTATTCAGGCGCTTTTATGAAAAGCCTACGACCTTTCGCTGCACAAGTCCCAGAAAGTGCTGTAAAAGACATCGTGGTGGTTGGCAGTATGCGTTAAAGAGAATGAACATTAATCGTTTGTCGATTCCCGAGCTGCTAAATTCTAAATGCCGATCACTAGTCAACAAAGTGGACTATCTGCAATCCCTACTAAGTCAAAATATGTATCATAATCATGGGCGAGAATCTAATTTAGGGACGACCTTTGAACGAATCTTAAGTACCTTGACAATTATTAGCCAATCAGAAGACAGTTAGTATAAAGTGAGAATATATTGTAAGTGAGTAATGAATTACAGTAGATATTCTTCTTTTACATGATTTAAAAACTTGTTAAGGTTTGATAAAGGTTCAGAGGCTCTGAATTCATAATGCATATTGTATAGAAACTCGTCCATAGGGTTAGTGGTTAGGGTTGTAGCCTGTAAGTAGACACATCTCTCAAATCCGATCGCATGTTAGCACCCTAATCCTAACCTTAACCTAACCCTAAATCCTAATCTAACCCTAACCTTAACCCTAATCTAACCCTAACCAAACCTAACCCTAAACCCTAATCTAACCCAAAAACCCTAACCTTAGCCCTAAACCCTAACCTTAACCTAACCCTAAACCCTAATCTAACCCTAACCTTAACCTAACCCTAAATCCTAATCTAACCCTAACCTTAACCCTAATCTAACCCAAAAACCCTAACCTTAGCCCTAAACCCTAATATAACCCTAACCCTAAACCCTTACCTTAACCTAACCCTTAACCCTAATTTTAACCCCTAACCCTATGGACGAGTTTCTATACAATATGCATTATGAATTCAGAACTTCTGAACCTTTATCAAACCTCAACAAGTTTTTAAATCATGTAAAAGAAGAATATCCACAGTAGTTCATTACTCACTTACAATATATTCTCACTTTATACTAACTGTCTTCTGATTGGCTAATAATTGAAATTGCTCAAACGCTTCTCATTGGCTCGTCCCTAAAATAGAGTTTTGCCGTCCCATCTGTTGTAACTTCTCATTAATCACCTACTCTCTAAAATCCGCTGTGAACCGATCGTATGTTAGCAGCGCGTGTTGAACTTGGCTCCGTGACCTTGAAATTCCTCAGACGCTTCTGATTGGCTCGTCTCTAAATTAGAGTCTCGCCTGACTTCAGAATTTATCGTCAGGATCGATCAAACAGTAAACAGAGGTTTGGTGGCGGTGTAGCTACGTTTGTAAAAATAAGCTGATGTCGATCTTCGTTTGTGTGTTTTAAGTTTTCAAATGACTTTATTGACTATCTAACTCTAAGATGTCGTCCAAAACATCCGAATAAATACAAATATGTTTATGTTACCAATATCTACGTGACTACAGACTGCACATCATCTGCGCTATCTGTTTTCGCTGATGAATTCACTGAGTTCTCTGTTACTGCGTACAGTGATCCACTTTCAGTTGTATGTGGTGATTTCAATTCATGTGACTGTAGCTTCCTTACTTCACTAGGTCACCAAAATGTATTAGATTTTCCTACCCGTCTGGATGCTCATCTAGATTTCGTCTTCATTAATGATGTGGGTATATATGCGACTCGTAAACGTGCTCCATTGTCTAGCTCAGATCACTGTATAATTCGTGTTCTACCTAAAGTATATGGAAAGCATGGGAAGAGTACACTCCTACGTCAAACCAGAAAAGTCAAATATAGGAATTACTCAGAAGAAAATATCCGAAATCTGAAAAACATGTTTCATACGACTAACTGAGAATTATTTACAGATGACTCACTCGAAAACACTACTGATGATATCACTTGTTACCTTAAATTCTGTTTCGATATTTGTTGTCCCACTGAAACCATTTTTGTAAGTTTTGATCGACTTACATCTTCACAACTAAAACGACTACGAGGGATGAAAGAAAGCATGTACAAGGAGAAGAACTCTAATGAAGTTCGTAAAATAAATGGTCTGATAAACCTAGAGATTAAACGTCTCAACTGTATGTTTACTCAAAAGCTCTTATCTTGCAAATCTCTCCAAGTATGTGGAAATTCTTTAAAGAACTTACAGGTGACAGAAAGTTTAGAAGCGATAACCAGCTGAATGTTTGTGACTTAAATAAGTCTTTTGTACGTCAGTCATCTGATGTGATACTCCCTTTATCGATAGGTTTAAATAATAGCTGTGTCCCCAGTTTCACTGAAACTGATGTACGAAGATGTCTCCAGTCGCTTAATTCATCTAGATGTTTGGGACCAGATGGTATCCCAAACATCCTTTTCAAAAAGTGTGCTGACGTCCTATGTTATCCGTTCACAACTATCTTTAACAGATCCTTCTCATCTAATCTCATACCGAAAATGTGGAGAAATATGAAGATAATCCCTGTACCCAAGAAAGCATCTGGTGATAAGAATGTAAAATTTAGACCTATTGCAATAACTTCACCCTTCCTCAAAACGATGGAAAAATTATTAATACTTCCACTTCAGCCTGCGATAAAAGAGCATATTTATCCATATCAGTTTGCTTACAGATGCAAAAGAAGCACCTTATATGCTGTTGCTGTTCTGCAACACAACATAGTGTTCAAATTAGAAAAGGGTAAGAAGTACGTCCGATGTGTTTTTCTGGACTATACTTCAGCTTTTGATTCTATACCAAGACAACGTTTACTTAACAAATTAATCAGCGTCAACACTGACAGCTGGATAACCAACTGGATATGTTCCTACCTCTCTGGAAGGGAACAGTACACTGTGTTTGGAAGAAAGAGTTCAGAGTCTCTACTGTCTCATGAAGGTGTACCACAAGGAGCTGTTCTTTCACCTCTTCTTTTCTCCTTTTTTCCTGCATGATCTACCATCTTCCACAGGAAACACTTTTGTGAAATATACGGATGATCTCATTGTATGTATGCCTATCTCTTCCTCTTTACATCCCATAGAAATGAATGAGTTTTTGTCTCGTATTGATTGTTAGTCTGTTGGTAATGGTCTCATACTTAATCCGTCTAAATTTCAAGCTGTTAACTTTAGCATGAGACATGAACGGAATCTAAACAGCATTTTGAGATCCCATAATGCTTGTACCATCGGAGACTCTTTGATAAACACAGTGTCGAAGGTCAATTATCCTGTTGTCCCCTTTTCTTCTGATCTCTCTTGGTCTTCCCACGTTTTATTGTTATGGAATAAGGTTTTCCGTCTGACTTACTACATAAAGAGATTGCATGCTTTTGTTATTACTCGTCATTTACTCCTACAATTTGTCAATTCTTGCATATTACCTATTATTCTTTACTGTTCTCCATTATTCTTACACGGGCTTTTGAGAGAGGTCTTTGCTGTATTGCGGAGGGTGCTGAAGGCAGTTAGCAAGATGTGTGGTGAGTCTTTCGAGGTCATAATTAATATGGTTGTGGATAGACATTTAAGATCATGCAAACTCCTGGCAGGTGTTATTTTATCAGATACTAACCATCCCCTTCACTCTTATCTTTCTCCTCGTATATCTTCTGGTAAAACGAGACGTAATTACATTACAATCCGTGTTTGCAAGCAAAAGTATGAAAGTTGTATAATACCTTACCTAGCAAATATACTCTGTGACGAACAAGTTGTTAGAGTTAACCTAGTCAATAACCTGCATTCTTAAAATGTCTTTAATTTTATATGTCGTACAGTTTTTCGGGTTATTTTTTTAAACCTTTTTGTGTATTTGTTACTGTTTTTTGCGTAAGTAACTTGTTGAAATACCCTATGCTGAGAATTCTATATTGTACCAAAATATAATATTGAATAAAGCCAGTAATAAAAATAATAAATTCTCCAGGCTGTTATTATGAGCTAAAATTAATTACAATCGTTAACGACTGACTTTGTCATATAAATCACTTTTACGTCCGTTCATTCATGACGTCATAAATCAAACAGCACTACTGGGAGTCAACGGCAATCTAGCTTTTTAGACCAAAACACAGTTCATCGAGCTAAACAACCATTTCACAGTTAGATTGATAAATCACATATCGACACTGAACATCTGACTGTTTTTCAGCCCAAACTATTCCCGTCTGGCCAATCGCCTTTTTATTTATGATTTTATTATCCTATTTCAGAAAATGAACGAATTTTCGGTCTTATATGACGATGTTTGTCAACGTGTTTCACGATCCCTTACGGAAGCACTGAAACCGTTTGACGGTATCGATACAGTTGCTACTCATGGTGGATATAATCCAGTGTATTTAGAGGAAGTGGGGCGTCCTGTTGTCCCGCCAATAACTTTGTCGTCTACTTTCCAACAGCTTTCTCCTGGTGTCGCAAAAGTAATAAGGTCTTGTTCTGTATTAACTTTTTCAAGTATGACTATTCTAGGTCTGGAAATTTCTCTCGGGAGTGTTTGGAAAAGTGTATAGCATCTCTGGAAGACGGCCATGACTGCTGTGTCTTTAGTTCTGGTCTTGCAGCCTTAGGAACTCTCATTCAGGTCTTATCAAATGATGATCACATCGTTGCGTTCGATGATTTATACGGAGGTTTGTTATTTTAACATTTTGATTTCTATTAACGTGTCTTAGAAGTCAAAAACAAATTATCTTTTATATAGTTGGTCATTTCATACCTACACTGTTACCCCTGTGAAATGTTGACTACTTTAGACCGCTAAATTAAAGTTCGTTTACTAATTTACTTAATGCAATGACTTGTAAAACAATTTAAGTTTTTCCAGTTAACGATAAATGCAGAATAAACTGATGAATTCTGTATTAGAAACACTTAGCACATCTTTGTGGCGAATTATGTAACTTAATAACCTTACACTGGCTCATTTTAACTACAGAAGACAATTCATATGCAAATATTAGAAAGTCTGCCTAACCGCTTGCTCCATCAGTTTCAAATCAATACATACTAGCCAAAACTGTGGCTTGTGAGTCCGATGACTTTGGGTTTCAAACGTTAGTGTCCAAACTGTTTAATCCCCTAAGTACGATTTGTCAACATTTGTTTCCCCAGTTATTTCTGTCTTGAAATTAAAATCAATGGTTTTCAAACTGTTTAGGTATTGTGAAGGTATTATGGGCTGGCAACATAAGGTGAGTCAGGTCAACTTCAGAGGCATAATCGTTGTGAATAAGAAATTTAGATTTTTACTACCATCAAAAGTACCAACTATTGGCTATTTCATCATAAAATTAGCAAATATGGTAGGAAATCTTATTTACTTGTTATTTTATTATTTAGATTGCTAAAATTATTGAGTCATTCGTAATCTTCATATTTGAAACATTTTCGTAAGATCCTGTTAATTTCTTTCCCAGTCGTTACTTGTGTGAATCCAAAAATCTATTTTTATTTTCTAAATCTGAGTTTGGGAATTCATCAAGTTTTTTGTACCTTTTATAATCCACAAACTTGTCACTCTGTTCCTTTAAATTAAAACCATAGCACAATATTTGATAACATCAGTTCTCTGATGCTGAGTGAAGTGGTAGATAAAATCAGAGATGCGATGGTAAAATGTGGTTCGAAGAAAAAATATCGTGTGGTGAAAAATGGCTTTCGTAGCAAGATTTTCACCTGGCTCTACCTACTGTAGTTCAACTAAATAAAAATAAGTTTTACGGAAACTGTCCAACCCTTATGAGGACGCTAAAGTATATCCACTGGCCGAGTTTGATACATACACTTCATTAGGCTTTGGAACATTTCACCATCCGACAGTAGTTGCTTTTTCCTATTAATGATAGAGTCTGACGCTGGTGGTCATATAGTCCTGTTGTTTGTGAAATCAATAGTGTTTGAGGGACCTGAAAATGTTTGATTCTGTTTCTTATTGTATTTAGTTTAACAATAGGAAGTGGTGTGATTTAGTATTTTGGATGTTCTTATGTGTCTTTAAAGGTTTATTAACCCTGATGGTTCAGTGCTCACAACTCTTTTAGTTGAAGTCTACTGGTTTGCGTCATCCGTTGCACAAATAAGATATCTTTAAAACAAACGACGTGTTAAGATAATAAATGATGTCATTGAAGTATAGTGAGGGCAACATTTGCGCAATATTGATATTTGACAATGAAAGCTTATTAACGGGACTGAGTCAAATTCATAGAGCTTCATTGTTTAAAGTTGTTAAGGATTCTCTTATATGTGTAGCCAATCACCACCCGGTTTGATGTGCTGCCTGAGACAGTGTTTTGGAGAAAAGTTATTGTCAGATTAAGACTTGGTATCATCCCTTCAAGTCAGACTCTTAGGCTGAGGTATACAGAGAGATAAATGACTATATATCCATATATGGAAGAAAACTATAATTGTTGGTTAGTAAATCGGGATAGAAATTTTCATTAAAATGAAGTGTCATGTTACTTGGTGTTTCCTTAAAACTTATGTTCTAAGATAAGACTTATTCTAACACAGAAATATCAAAGCAATATCAAAAGATTTTGTTCTTTGTGCGATTAAGTTTTTTATTGATATGAGATTATGGTTAATAGCTTACGACTTACTGAAGACACTTACTGATATGTACATTAAATCATGCATCAATATTTGATCCATGCTAATGCCTGAGTAAGTCGGAATTTTGTTCCCCTACTGACCACTATTTTACTAGGTCTTCAGCTTAGTTTGTTTTATAATAATTTGTCATTTCCAACTCAATAATTAATTAATATTCAGTTTGTAGTGTTTTTTTTATTTGAACAGGAAATGGGCGATATCTGCGTCGACTTGCCTCGAAATCTGGAATAACAACTACTTTCGTTGACATGCGTGACTTGAATTTGTTTCAACAGGCGTTACAGAAAAACACTCGCTTAGTCCTTATAGAATCTCCATCAAATCCTTTAATGCGTCTGGTCGATATAAGTGCTGTTGCGTCTATCGCTCATGAGTTTAACAAAGAAATTATTGTTGTTGTTGACAATACTTTCATGAGTTCTTATTTTCAAGTAAGCAAAATTATTTCACTGATCACCTTACCGAGATAATCCTAAATATATGTCCCCAAACTATTTCTTTGTACAAATTTCAAGCCTTAGTTATTTGAAAATTTTATATGACAATAGGTTCATATCCATATAAAACAAGGGTTCACTCTTCTCTAGTAGTTACATTCGTCTAAACTGAAGATTACTACACTTGCAGGGCAGTGCATTCAGTCCGCTGAAGTATTTCATTGATAATCACTGTTTAGATATTTCTTAGACTATAATGCACGCTGTAAAATAGTATTGATCGCTGAATTTCGTTTCAATTTTTCTTTCTATTATTATGCTTGACGAAATCTCTGCATGGATTCAGAAATATTAACTAGCCTTTGCCAGCTTATGTTTCTCGTGGTACAGGCAAATTGTTCGTCCTCATACATAGTTGCATGTTGATTGCTCCGGAGTTCGCTTTGTATTGCTGTATGAATTTGAAACATGGGCCGTAAAAATAGAGTATATTAGTAGAATACTAGTATCCGGCCATAGTTATATTCGATCTCAACTATTGAAATTACTACAATCTCCACAAAACTCCTTCTGATACTAATCAACATATGCTCACTAGTGATTGGCTTCAAGATGCATATCCTGGAGTTCTAGTGAGAAGCAGTGACCAGTGGAGTTCAATCGGGTCAGTTGTGAGATGGTAACTCACTGATGACAATGGCAGATATGTCGCTCAATTTCGTCGATTAGTTGAAGTTAAACATCAACACTGTTGGATGCCGGCTCAGTGGTCTAGTTGGTTAAGTGCCTGGAGTGAGACTGACACGTCCCGGGTTCAAATCCCGCGAGGCGGGGTTGTGGATGCTCATTGCTGAGGAGCCCCACAATAGGACGAAACGGCCGTCCACTGCTTCCAGGTTTTCCATGGTGGTGTAGCTTCAATTGACTCATGATCTTAACTATTGAAATTACTGCTCGTATATTGTGGAACTGAGTGAAAAATGCTGGGGTTGTGCAGAGGGTACTAGGTGAAATTGATGAATTGTTTCATGAGGCCACGATTGTTAATCGATCAAGGTGGTTGGGATGTATGTTACGTATGCCTAACCACCACCTATTTTGACGCGATGCATACGAATGTAGGAGCACCTTGGAAGAAAGTTAAGGACATATCATAAGTTTATGAAGCCGTTTACTGTTGATTTCAGCAATATTACTGAATATAGAATACTTGATCATGCTCCTCACACTAGTTGTAGCGAATGGTTGGAGACAAAAGTAAAGAGAATTAAGCGAAGAAAATTTTATTTTCGACAAAATTATTTAATCAAGCTATAAATTCGTATTCATAGTTGTATGGTATATATATGTCTACAGAAAGATAGGAAAGGTTGCATGATAAATTGATTCGAGGTTCTTAATATCAAGTGACGTTACGCAATAATCAAGAGGTAAGAGAAGAATAAGTTACGGGTCAGAATTATAAAAGATAATTGTACACTTTACAGATATGGCGAAGAACGAAAAACATTAAGGTCATAATAAAAAATACGGAATAATAATCATGAAAAATTTTTTAAGGATTAAGGTTTAAAATTACAAAATACTAATTTAAAAAATAACAAAAAAATCAAAACATACTACATAAGGAGAATTAGGGCCAAGGAAAAGTGAGAGGTTGGGCGTATCGATTTTGTACGCAGAGTTCGAGCTTGAGTTGATGGATTGCCAATGCCTCAGTAGTGCATAAGTTTTTTATTCGACCTCGCCTCATTCCACTTCTTTGTCGCTTAATTCTCTTTACTTTTATTCATTGACACAATGTGTTATTAAAATGACGCATTGGGTGACATGATTCGGGACAATTCGTTATAGCACAAATACATTTGGTCTTTATCTTGTTTTACATTCCGAGTTCCTGTGCTTCTTCTAATTACCTCCCTTTCTTTGTTTTCTAACTATATTCACAATGTTTAATTGATTTTATTTTGGTGTCATTTGCTATTCGTTTTGTTTTTTTTTCAACTGGTTTTGGTAGCGTGGTAACTTCACCCAACATATATATGCCTAGTTCTATGTTGATTACAACTGACTTTATGTTACAATTTATTCTCAAAGTATTCGTGGATTCGAATGAAACCTTAATATCAATTTTAGTAACAACTCAAAGTTCAGTGATTGATGTAAGTTAGGGGCGACCAAACCAAAACTCAGCACCAGTGCTTGAAGTCATTAACTTCTAGCCTTAACCATGTTGGTAAATGTAGACTACTTGGTTGGGGTACGACTATCGTAACCAATGGTTAGAGATATAAGATGACATGGCTCAGAATCGATCACAATGGCGTCGGTGTATACTCTCTGTCTTCCCTTAAACTATGAGATTAAAATCACTTCATATCTTTCTTTCTACCAACTAATTCTCCCTTTCTGTACTATGTCCTTATATGCAATCTTTCTTTCATATATTACCACCACTACTTCTATGAATCCCGTGTTCATCTTGTTGTGCCAATAAGGTATGACAACTTGGACCGATGCACATATGTACCTGGTCCTACGTTGTAGCTGACTGAAGACTGGATGTAACTTATGTGGGATTTTGGCATCATATTAGCACTGAATTTCGTTGTTAGAAGATATTCCATTATATCGACTCCTTTATACCCAATAAAATGTTTTAATAATCATATGAAAGTTCTGACCTGTAAATAAAACATTTTCAGTGAATATAATAGCTACATTAAAAAATGTCATTATTACTGTCCACCTGTCATTCAGGAATCATTTAAAATTGCCTTATAACTTATAAAAACAGTAACATTATTTGTAGCAACAAATTAAATACTGGGATTTATGTTCACTTTTTTCCACTGAATGCAATTACAATCACAATGAGTTGAGACTAAGTATCAGAATTCTTGTCAAGTTAATATTCAAAAGAGGCAACACTCATGCTAAATATCTAAAACCAGAATTTCAACGTTGTGTGATTAATCAGACATGATTGTGGGTAAACAATTATTACTTATTATTATACAATGAATGATACAGTTTTACACATTGTTTTATTATGTAAATATCGGACATGGATATATATTATGATTGAGATATTTACTTCTTGCAAATTATATATCATAAATACAGTAAAATAATATATTTGTAATATCCCAATGATACCTACAAAATTATATATCAGTTTTTTTCCTGTTTATGACTTCACTTCGGTCAAATGTGAGGTACTATTAAATTACATTTTATTGACGTACAAGGTTGTAAAATCTAAACCAGTAGGAGACTGTAAAATTTCCATGGAACACCGTTGTTCTCCGACTTTTATTAGGCGATGTGCACTTTCGATTAGTGATGAGGTGTCTAATTTACTTTGTTACTACATTCATTCATTATCATTTTTTATGAGAATGTAACCAGAGAAGACAATGAACTTTTGACTACGTTAAATAATAAATTGCTGGGTCCTTAGCGATTGTTTGTAGGTAGTTATTCATAAAATCACTACGAATGTTTCCCCTGTATATTGGAAATTGAGTAAATTGAAACTTGTCGTAATAGTACACTCGTTATTGTAATTAAATAACAAAAATAGTCCGTGTTATGATCACGGGACTATCCGCCTCGTAAATTATTGTTTATTTGAACTTAAAACTATTCATAAGGCGCATCATATTTAGTCATACTCCAATAATTTCGAGTATATATATATAACAAAATATTCCTAGTTTAAAATCAGTGTTGATAAACTGGAAACATATTTCCGTTTTCAGTGGTTTTGAATATCAACCTTAAACTGTATGTGCACTTTTAATTAGTCACTGAAAATATTTCGATTTCTCGCGTGATTATAAAAAATATAAGGAAAATATAAATATAGTTTCGAGTAAACAATCATTGTAAGTTTGGAAAGTATAGTTTTAGTCATGATAAAGTAAATAATCACTAATATAATGAACATACAAGTGTAAATATGGTAGTTATTTGTTTAATTTATAATTATTGAACAGCAGTGAAGCTTAATTTAATCAATAAAATTCCCAATCATTTTAATAAAGTCTTTTTGGAAGGCATGTTTTTTGTCCTAACGCGTGTTACACTCCAAAACTTTACGAATTAGCATCCTACTGGTTATAAGTTAGTAGCTATCTAAACTCAGTAGCTTAGTGAATAATCAGTCCTAGTTTGGAGCTGTAATTGACGAGTCTTAATGTAGATATGAACACTAGAATCCCGGGACATCCAGTTGATTAATCCCAAATGGAAAGAAATATGCGTTTTAGGTCCTACTGCACACTCCTACTATTCAAATACATGAATAGGTGATATAAGCGTTATACCCTAACCACAAACAACCGATTTTCCACAGTTTCATTACTTTTTTAAAATAAAGTAGCAAATTATTTAGACTATTTACTTTTTTTTCAGCGTCCACTTGATCATGGAGCAAATGTTGTTTTACACTCTCTCACAAAGTATATGAATGGTAAGCTCCTTTTTCATTACAACCAACAAGTAAAATAACTTAATTTATGTCTACCTCGCATAATGTCTTCAGTGGTTAAGTATTGCATAAAATCTCTAAGTAGACAGCACTTTTCATAATTTTGGGGATTTGTTTGACCTCATAAAGCTGTCTTCTTATTATGATTACCTAGTACCCATTTATTTATTTAAGATGGTGTGCGTCATTGTCAGCTACCACTAATATAAAGAACTCATTGCTGACTGAAGGTAAGGGTTGTTTGGTTGATGCTTGGTGTACAGGTGAATACTTTTTTACCCTCATATTGAGAGAAATGTTTGAGATTCCCATCCTCCTCCTATATGTTTAGTGACAGTCTATGTTCTAAACTTAACGGTGTAGAATACTAAGTTTAACTGGCTGTCCGACTTTACTATATACTGTAGTTAATTATTGCTCTTGTCGTTTGGAGTTGATTTTGTTTCATAATGTGATGAAGATCCTGTTTAGCTTATTACTAAGTAAAGTTCAGTGTAAAAATGTACGGATATGCACATTTGAAGTTCAATAGTATATATAATAAGTAGTAGAAAATTAATCTGAAATTTGCAAAAGAACCTATCCATACAGCTACATAGTCTTCGTTAAAAACATTTTTTGTTTCTGTAATAAGGTCATTCTGATGTAGTTATGGGCGCACTGGTTACACGTAATCAATCAGAACTACACAAGCAGCTAAGATTCATACAGTATGCTGCAGGCGCTGTTCCGTCTCCATTTGACTGCATGTTATGTCTTCGAGGATTACGCACATTACCAATACGAATGAAAGCGCACATGCGAAATGGACTTATAGTGGCTATGATGCTTGAGAAACATCCGCTAGTTGAAAAGGTTCTACATCCAGGTATGTTACTCTAAATGTTTCTTGAATGATAAGACTTCAGACGCAATTGTATAGATAGAGGTTAACATTTACATATAATGGTAAAACTGGTGCCAATCAGTTGCTTTTTCGTTAGATAATATTCCTCACATAAAATCCTAACGAAGATGATAGGTGAATTTATTATTAACTGTGACCTTTATGAATATCTAAGAATATTTGGTCCCGTTATGCCAAGACTATACGGACCCTCTAAATTCATAAGAATGTTCTCCTACGTCCTATACTTGATATGAATAGCTCTCCATATAATCCGATTGCTAAATGGTTAGCTGATATTTTAAAACCCGTCACAAATCACATCAATAAATATAACTCTCTGATTCACTTGATGTTGTTAACTCAATTAGAAATATCTGTGTAAATGGTAAAAAAGATGGTCTCCTTGGATGTCACTTCTCTCTTTACAAATGTTCCACTCACGAAAACTGTGTTTTTTATGTGAATACACTAAAAATAATAACCCTGATATTCGCATCGCAAAACATTGTCTAAAAGAGCTACTTATACGATGTATTCTCGACGTGCAATTATGAGAATCAAGAGAGGAGCTGACATAGCCTTAGATCACCTGGTTGTGGCCAAGCTAAAGAAGCACTGGACAACTGGGGAAATAGCATTACAAAGGTTCAATACAGCCTTCGAGATACTGACAAACTCAACGAATTCAAGATAACTTTCAACAACGGGTTCCAAGCCTTACATGATCTACTGAAGGAAGAAGGAACTACGATGGAAGAAAACTGGGAAGAGATCAAAGAAGCACCATCATAAGTAATAGATTCCGATCGAAACGCTGCAAAAGATTCAAGAAAAGAAGCACAAGAAGACAGAAATCAACAACAGTCGATCAAGAAGAAAGTCAAGGCACAAGCTGAATACACAGAATTAAACAAGCTAGTGAAGAGGAACATTAGTGCTGACAAGTAGAAATATGTGGGAGACCCAGCAAAAACAGCGGAGAAAGCTGCAATAGAATGAAATCTGAGACAACTATATGACACGACGAAGAAACTGGCAGGGAAACATAGTGAACCGGAAAGACCAATCAAGGATAAGAGAGGCAACGCATTCACTGAAATTCAAGAATGGAGGGACAGATGGGTGGAACACTTTGAAGAACTCTTGAATAGACCAGCTCCAGTGAACCCACCGGACATCGAAGCTGCGCATACGGATCTTCCTATAGCTGTCACTTCACCATCGATCGTAGAAATCAGGATCTGAGTAAGTGTGAGAACTATAGAGGCATCACACTACTGTCAGTACCAGGAAAGGTTTTCAATGGGGTGTTGCTGAACCAGCTGAAAGACTCAGTAGACGCTCAGCTTCGAGATCAACAGGCTGGATTCTGTAAGCATTGGTTGTAAACAGACCACATCGTGACACTACGGATCATCGTTGAGCAAACAATCGATTGGAACTCGTCAGTATACATCAACTTCCTTGACTCTCTCTCTCTCTTTGTTATTTTGATTGTTCCGTCATCTGTGCCATTGGCTTCACTTTATGTCATGCCTAAATGTCACAGGTTAATAAATATATTATTTCAATGGTTGAAATCATGAGTCAATTGAAGCTAGACGACCACGGAAAACCTGGAAGCACTGGACGGCCGTTTCGTCTTAGTATGGGACTCCTCAGAAGTGCGCATTCACGATCCCGCCCCCCTCGGGATTCGAACCCAGGACCTATCAGTCTCGTGCCAGGTGCTTCCAGGTTTTCCATGGTGGTCTAGCTTCAATTGACTCATGATTTCAACCAGTGAAATTTCTAAATATCTCCACAAAACCCATTCTGATAAAAATATATGACTGCAAGCAGATGATGATAAGCCACGAAATGTAATGAGTTCGTATTATTCTGCCTCAACTGTTGTTTTGGCTATGTTCGCATTCCTAAAGGGAACCAACTGCATGAAGTTTATGAATGTAATTACGAGTGGTTAAGATTATTAATATCAGATGTTAATTAGCAAACGGATGATGTACAACACGTATTTAGGGAACTGACAAGTCTATCATAATATTTAGTACGACAGTCGAAAATTTTTTTTATAATAAATCAAATACTTAAGCATAAAAATACTGCTTCAGTTAAATAACAAAAAAAGAGTATCGACATTTTGAAGAAAAGACATTGGCATGAAGGAGAATATAATACCATTGTGATGAATGCTGATAGCTTCAGTTATTTTTAAAACACATATGCGCAAGCCATGTGGTGAATTCAGTGCATGATTTCAAAGGCCTTGTTTAGAACAAGGGTGGTACGAAGCCCCAAAAAGGCACTGTTTGAAGGGAAATATTTCTTCGCTTACCCCTTTATTCTTATCTAAATATCTAAACAAGAATTCTCGCTTCACTAAAACCACTTAATCACATGAAAAATTAATAATTGATTCATGTGTCACAATTGTAAATACATCTTTAAAGAATAAAATTACCAACGTTAACGGGTTGTTTATGTTACACATATTTATTTCAAGTGAGCACTGTCAATTTCTGTTTATGCTCTCCGTTTACTAATACTGGTCATTAGTTTATATGTCAGGGTTATTTATATTATTCTTAGTGTTAATTCATATACTAATTAATTAGCACATGAAGTACTTACGAATTATTTTTATCATTGCTGCAGTCGGAAAAACGAGAATAGATATGGTACGCTGTATATTTCCCACAAATTACCTCTATCCGTTCAAGATGTATGGTTAGGTCAACATTTTTTAAATCTAATTCGGTTGTTCCTTTAACCTTTTATGCCTGTTTAATTGTAAACAAGTTGATATTTGCTAGTTTTGCATTCGGCCGTTTTTATTTTCAACATTTTTTTTCTGATATTCAAGGTTTAGAGTCATTTCCTCAAAGAGATATTATCGCAAAGCAGATGCGTGGTTTTAGTGGTATGATAACTGTTTATCTACGATGTACTGGGGAACAAACAAAAACGTTTATTACAAATCTGAAGGTAATTGCGTTACCGTATATGGATGATATAAATGTTCTAAAAGAGTTATGAACTCGGTAGTGAGAGTCAATACAGGTGATTAAGTGGATAAAATTCATTTTTTTCAAATATGTATATGATGATTAGAAGTATTTGGATTATTATACGTACTAGGAATCCCCAAAATAGCTCAATTTAGACCAAACAGAACTTTGTGAACACAAACGAATGTATTGTATTTGGAATTCAAAATCAGGCAGTCATCAAGTACAAAGGAATTATTAGTTAATACAAACACAACAACCGTCACAGCTTAAATTGGAATCTAAGTTTCTGCAATCAATTTTACCTTTTCTCGTTAGGTTCATCATGTATCTGTCCAACCATGTATTGGATGTAGACTATGTATGACCTAGAAATTGAAACGGACTCACCTGGATCCTGGAATTGTATACAATCACCATGTCGGTTGTGTACTGAAACCACTGATATCCAGAATTTGAACCATAGATGTCCCAACACTATTCCCCCCCACGAAATAATGTTGGATCTTCATAGCTCCAAGTTATGAATAATGTGGCTTCATTTGAAGCATATCTCACATTGATTAGAGGATTCATTAGAGGTGGATTCATGATAAATATAAACAACATTTGATCTGAAACCACATGAATTGTAATAAAAATCGAGCTGATTTAGCACTTGTGCTATGCAGTGAACAAGTTTCCCGCAAGAGGCAGATGCAGTGTAAGGACAAATAACATTTGTTATGACATCAGGATGCAATTTTTCCGAAATATTTCCCTCAAATTTATTAAGAATTTCATTGGAGAAGTGTATCACCAGAAAAATCAGCATCTGTCAAAACTGCACCATATTTTCTATCATGATTTGATTCATTCAACACATTTCCCTCAGATTTATATAAAATTTCATCAGAAATATGTGAATCATTGGGACAAACTGCGGTGTGCGCTACTTATATACACATAAGTACTATATAACGGTATTCAGTAATAGAATGTATTCCAGTAGAGAATAGAAAACGAAAGAACGGGGACGGAAAGTAATCGGTACGAAAATGCAGGAACAATGAAATCTGAGACGATGGACTGATATTTGTAAAAGAAACAGACAATTTTGAGACAATGGGTTAATATTTTGCAAATTAAGTATTTACTGTATGGTTCTCAGATTTTATTGGGATGTTCTGTAATTTCTTGTTCTAATACATTCGGTCGTCCCACTCGTGTTCTTTGTTCACTACAAAACGATAACTGATACAAAAACATGAGAGATCTGATAAAAAGTTGACTGACTAGAAGCTTTTATCTCACAATGATTCTGATTTCGTTTGATTCTAGACTGCTTTATGACTATACTGTTTTTCGAAATCGTAGAAAAAGACAAATGATTGTTGGAAGCATTCAACTTAATAGGATTTGAATAACAAAGTTTAGCATTACTTGGAGCGAAATGAACAGTAGTATTACAAACTGACTGAATGTGTCCAATTTTACCACATATAAAGCATTTAGCATTACGAAATACACATGAATTACATGAGAAATTTGCCACAGGACAAACATTTACCGAACCCGAACAATAAGAACTGGCAATACTGCCAGTTTAAAGCCCAAAAAAACTAAATAGAAAATAAGAGGTAAAATTACTCTTATTAAAATGAAATGAATGTACTTCACATCACTGCAAAAATTTAAAGGTTTGGTGGTTTCCGTCTGTAACTTCTTTTTAACTCCCATTCAAGAAACTTTATCCTAAAACAGATTCAGACTATTTCAGCAAATATTTCATAGATCGATGTCGCACTCTAGTCCACCACACTATAGCTTTTCGCATGATATATACTCTCATTTCTAGGTCTTAATGAAATGGTTTAATTTAAGTTATATTGTTTAGATATTTGAAGGCTATAAAGATTTATTATTCGGCTTTATTTCTTGATACAAATTTTTCCGGTTGATTATCACGTATAATCCTAACTTTTTGTTTGAAAGTTTAGATTGAGCTGAGTCTACTTATGTAAACTTTCTGATTAGAGTCCTCGAGATAAATGTAAACTACCGTTGGGGATCTTAGATGTGTTGGCTCAAAATCTGTCGCTATGGCAAAAAATCGTTGACCCGTTCATCCTAGATCTTGAATTTTACCAGCCATAATTTCCAACTTCGTTTTTTTCAAGGTGTACCCTTCTCACCATTACCACCATTCCAACTCGTCGCTCATGTAGTTGGCTTCCTCCAATTAATCGTTAATGTAACTACGGCTTTCACACTTCTGTGCCAGGTTCTATTTTGACGGTGACTTGATGATTTCGAAGAGAGATGAACAGAGATTTGAGCAGAATTACTTATATTCACGTGATATTTATTTAAAACTTATAACGTTTAAAAAGCAAAATCACGGAACGAGTTGAGAATCCGTGCACAAAAGAATTCGGTTTGGGAGTTCTTGTGACTGCACATCAGCATACTATAGCAGAGATATAAATATATTTGAGACTGAATAAAAATTTTGTAAATATATGTCATACGTGACAAAAAATTGTACAGCAGTTATAGTAACAGACGATCAAAAGGCTAGATATAAGTGCTCACGTAAGTAATGATCAAACGCAAATAATAAAAAGTGTAGTGCTCATTGAGTTAAGAAATAATACCAGAACTAGTGAAGAGTTACAAAACTGAACAAAACGATATATTCAATTAGGAATATTAAAGTTTATCGGAACCATACTAAGCGATAAAATTATCTGAAATTTCCTATACATATTTTGTATTTTTCAGCTGTTTACGTTAGCCGAAAGTTTAGGGGGTTATGAGAGCCTTATTGAAATTCCGTAAGTCCTTTGTTGAATCTTGTAAAATTTATGCTTATGTTCAGTTTGTGTGCACTTGTGAAACCGTAATATCAAAACCATTTTTCCTTATTGCAAATAATTTCTTGCTATCGAGTTATAATGTTTAACAGTTCTCAATGTTCCAGAAATTAAATAAGATATAAGTTGATGTTGGTATTCTAATTCAATAAAAAGAGTGGTTTAGACTGCGTTGACAGTTCAGGAATTCCAGGAGAAGCTTGATCATCGATGATCAAAAACCAATAACCTTATAGCGACCCTGATTAAAGCATTTTACGAACACGTATTTCCTAACTCCACATGATTCATTCATCTGTTGGATAGAATAACCTACAGAATTCCGGTGTTTTCTTAGGCGAAGTCACTGTTGTTGCTCCAGATGCACAAACTAGTTTGCTCAGAAGCTAGAATAACCTATGCAGCTTTGAAACTGTTTGTTTATTTATTTGAACACATAAGTATTGGTACCAAGGGGCACCGAATGCATATGCGACACACAAGTCACTTGATTTGTGTGTGGACTGAGATGCTGCCCAGGTGCCCGAATCGAGACAGGTGGTTTCCTTAGGGGGTCACACCCGCAGCCTTCGACCTAAAGATCTGATCCATAAGGCAGTGGAGCAACGTCAGGAGATACAGTCCCATGGTAGCCGGTGACCAACAATTAGTTCGTATACCATTTGTTCCCAAAGGATCCTAAAGCCCAGTGTTGAGAGGTTTGAGTGTATGTGTGTGTACAGGCAGCGACCAATGTTAATAAATCCACTTTTGTCAACATTAAGTGGTAAATTCCACGAAACAGTCCATTCGTACAACTTGTTTATTTCCTCTTGGATTACCGCTGAAATATAGCTTTCTTTCGTAGGAGAAGAGAAGGAATAAACTGCTGTCAAGCCTATGAATTCTTTAGTATTCAGAAACTATGTCCACATGAGAAGAAATATTTAGTGGTCCTCTAAATGTCTCCAGTTAAATCGCGTGCCCATTAATATCAGAGTACACATGTCGCCAATCGACCTAATTCGCGTTAAAGAAAGCCAAGTATGAGAAAGAATTACGAATACAAGTATTTCGTATGCTCATTGATCCGCACGGACAAACAGAGAAAAGAATCGAAGTAAGCGAAACGAAGTGACGTGCAGAGAAGAACGAGAGTCAACCAATAGAGCATGCTCTAGAACGACTCAATAATAATATTCAGACCACAATTAACAAAGACACAGAAAGAATAGGGAAAGAAATTAACAGACATACAATCACATCAACAAAACAGTTAGGGTTATTGAGTGAATAAGAAGAATATACAAACTAGCTGGTCTGCAAGCTAGAATAACTTATATCAGCCTAAAACTGTACCAGCTACTGAAAATAAAGGCCCGTGAAATAAACCCCAAGTATGATCTAGAAAATCCTTAGGTGTTGCTCGGATATCTTCTGAGAATTTAACTGCTTACAAATTTGAACTAATTAAATATTGAGAACTGGAAGAGTAAAAGTTGTTGGTATGAATTGTTTAGTTCACTTTCATTTGGCTTGGAGAAGTATCGCTTATGACTGTGGCATCAGTGATATATTACAAAGCAAACAATTCACTGGTAACGATTCATTTCAACAAACCAGGTAGCTTCATTTAAACGGCACTATTATTACGCACTACAAAGTTGTTTAACCGATTGTTTTCTAATAAACATGTTATTCCCTGCTGTTAGTTCATAATTTTTTTACTCTTCTTTAAACAAAACTCTAATCTACTGTATTTAGCTATATTCCGAAAATAAATATTAACCAATCAATACCCAAACATACGTTTTTGAAAAATAAACACTGAAGCCCCTCAAAACAAAGTTTTGTTAGCTCAAAATGTCATGCCATCGTTTTTTTTTAAATTTATGACGATTAAATGCTAACACTGATCATTCGGTAAGCTGCAATAAAGCTAATAACGTTATCAACTCACAGCATAGTAACAAACAATTCGAAATCCTGTATAGATAACCAATTAGCACGGGAACATTAGGCATGAATGACGACGGTATATTAGTTTTAAACATCATTTTTAATAAGATATTCAATGTTTATTGGTTCTGTTCGTAGAACAGAGCATGATAAAAAGTGATCATTTGCTAACTTCAATGGGCCATCAGTGATTTAAGACCCACATTATACTTTGTAGTATAGAAATTATAACTTACATATTTCGCGACTAACAATTGCTACCCTGACGTTATGGTTATACTCATATATTATCGTAATCTAATCTGACCAATCCAACTGATATTTGTTCTGCGACTTTACTATACGGAAATTTTCAGCAGGGTAGAACCCTAAAGTAGACAACCACCATAATGCATATAGTTTTGGTCTTCTTGAGACGTGTTGGGGAAAAATAATTGTAAAGTATTGTATGCACAACAAGGCGTCTTCCTCGGTTCATTAGCGCTTCTAAAGGCACTGTTTTCTCATAGTCGGAAGAAAAGGCCAGAACAAGTCAACTCTGGAAAATGTAAATCAAACTCTGCTGTGATCTTCCTTTGTAAATAGTAGTGTGTCTCAATGAGTGAATATACTCAACTGAACTCCACGACTTCAAAAAAATTCAGCCACTCTGCCTCGGCTACACCCCAACATTAATTTACATTCTGACTGTAATTTAAACTACTATGCTCCAGTAATAAATTTGAACACTTTCATTATGGCGAAAAGAACTTTACTTACTAATAAACATGCATTTCGGGAAGGACAGAACAGTGAACTATGTAAAACGGTAACATAAAGGCATTGTTTGCGATTGTAACAAGGTGTGTTTTCCCATTTTCAGGTCCATTATGACACACGCATCAGTCCCAGAGGATGTTCGTGAGGTCAACGGGATCACTGGGAATATGCTTCGCTTGTCAGTGGGACTAGAAGATCCGAAAGACCTATCACTCGACTTATATGAAGCTTTTGACAAATTGAACCAGAATCCCAAACCAATATAAACTTGTCCTCTTCAATTATTGATTGACGTTTCTTCAAATAAATTCACATGATGAATACTCTACAAATTTTTATGACTATTTACTTATTACGTACACAAATATCGGGCTAAGACTGATTGGGATTAATGCTATTGATGAAGAATCTAGTTTTAGCAATCGTATGCTCACTTACGAAAAGTCAAAACATCTCTGGATAATATATGTGTTAGATAAGTACTGCATTCTAATGGACCGAATTTTATCTGTAATCATGCTGCGCAGCTCTTAGTAAGCGAGCATTCACATAATAAGCAGCCTTCTTTTGAGTTATGTCAGTGACCAGCTTCATTGTTAATTAGGCCACACTTAACTTATATCTCATTTTCCCGATAGTGTCAGTTTGATCTTTCGTAAACGCGAACACGTGTGATTGGCCAGAGGTGTTCAAACAATTCACAAGACAACCTAAGCAGAAGGAACACTGAGGTGTGCCATCGCTTGAACTACAGACACGGTGTCGCAATAGACCAATGGATATGAGATCTGTGGTTTTTTGTACTACTACCCGCGTCATAAAACAAAGTCCTATCCCGTAAATCGACGACGGATACAGTGTCAAGCAATACGACGGTTGATCGCTCGCCACGAATGACTGTACCCGAGCAATCACTGAAACTTGGTTATGCGATAAATATGCTCACAACCAAGACGGGGAGTAGGCTCCACACCAGTCAGTCTTACGGGTTTTCGGCAACAAACGAAGCATGATGGAAGCCAACTGCTTGAATGTAATCAGGACGTCTTATCGCTCAATAGATGCAGCAGGGAAAACGTAAACGTTCTGAAGACAAGAACGACAATAAATCAGCATAAGTGGTTTTCCTACATAAGGCAAGAACGTTGTACGCTTTTGAAGGCAGTCAGAACGGGCTACAAAGTCATAAACTGTCGAAATGCCTCTCGGTCGCATTGTCGAGTGTAAAGTTCGCCACACACCCCTATGAGCTAGTAGCAGGGACTAAAGACACCAAGATTCTGTGCCACGTTCTCTCTGGCGCTGATGTAGGGATAGACAGTACCAACCGGTATAACAAGGAATTTTGCACACATTCTTCCGACTTCCCAGATAGAGCTCAACGTGGCACGGGGCGCTACACGGAACTACAACTAGACACCAGTCGAAACAAAATTCCTCCAGCTAATATTGAGTGCTCTACACCTGGCTTGAACAACGTTCGAGACCGGCCACATGGGCTGGAAATAAAGAGAATGCTTGAAGTGAGTACAAATAGACGGTCTGCTTTAGTACGTGCATTCCTCCACCAAAGTACCTGAACTGGTCACCCACCCTCGTCCTACTGTAAGCTGCATACGAGGCCCCTAGGTCATTGACACTGATCGTGCCTGATCGACAAGCCTTGGCAGTTACCACGGGGAAATCACTGTTGTGTAACGAATGACCCTACCCCACCCACAGGCTAGCTGACGCAATATTCATGACGCTTACTGTGACACCATACCCAACTACGCAAAAAATGAAGCCTGGTTGGGTCGAAATAATTGCACTTCTGATTGAGTGACAACTACAGATAAGACAGAAGTAGAAACAGATATTTCAAGAAAACCTTTTTATTTGACTGCAAATCTGACAAATTTTGGTTGTTGCAAGTACAACCTTGAAAAACGAATAAATTGACCATGCTATTGGCAAAATATAGAGCTGTCGCGTAGTTTACCAGGTCAGCTACCCGCCGGCCAACAAGACACGCATTACTTTAGCATTCAAGCGACCGCTGGTAATTCAACAAGCGGAGATACAGAATGCACTCAACCAACTATTCGAACTTACCAGTTGACGAGACACCTGAAAAGGAAAAGAAATAGCGTTTTAGAAATGGTAGAAAAACAATCAGTCCTGTTGAGCAAGATAATCACTTATCAATCATAAACATTTCATCACCTGAATTTAGCAACTCACCACTTGAATAAGGAGACTTGTGGTTACGACATATTCCGTACGATCTGAAATGCAAAAACAAACACTCATATTTGCATCTTGTTACTAGTGTACAATCAGGCCTATCATTGAAATATCATATTCATTAAGGGCTCAAACTTTCATCACATTACACAACTAGCGCTTACCAAATTCAAGGAATTCACGATTGGCATTCAAAAACTGAAAGGCATCTCCAGGAATATAGGGCGGTCTAAAATAGAAATAACGACAATATTAGCTGAATACCCTTGTGATATCAGATACTATCTAGTGGCATTCACTGTTTCATCCACATGTTAACATCATAACACTCCACACTAAAGCTTACCGCAAACTACCTACCCATAGAACAGTCACGACGTGACATGCACGAGAGTGAGTTTGAACAAATACATCTCGGCACGTCAGCTAACAAGCTATACCTCAGCTAAACAAATCCAATGCTCAATGTGTTAGTTTATTAATTGGATATTACCGAACGCACTGATCCAGGTGATTAGGCTTAGTAGGTCCAAGAACGTTCTCTCCAAAGTTGCTGGGTACCATTGCTTTTCGAAAACGAGGGAATTTACGGTCGACTTTTGTGACTACACTTACAATTAACCTTGGTATAGACAAGACTCTAGATAGCCCTTGGTAGTCTATGAAGTTGTGGCCGGCATATATTTCAATGGATTCGATTGCATTGGGTGAAACTCACTGAAGTCTAAATCACTGAGTTAAGATAATATAACTCTCCAAAAGTGGTCAATGTCTTGATTGCTTGGGGTTGTGTTCCGTAACTCAGTCTTGTGAACAGCGATGGTTAGATCACACAGTAAATAGCCATCAGGGTATATTAAGATCTCTATTTTTAAGACTTGCTACGTAGTGGGAGCATATCTCAAACCATCCGGTTACTTCTCGTGAGCAATTCAAACAGTAACTTTCTCATAGCAGCATTATAATGAATAAAGAAACGCTTGTCGCAATACAAAAGACTCGTCAAAATGTCCTAAACCATCCTATCATTATAGAAGTCGCCTTCCACTGTTGGTGAATTGAGACCTGGCTCGCTTACTGTATGAATAGCCAACATATGATTGATATGAGGACAAAAACGCTCCAAACATTGAGAAACCGTGACTGGGTTCCACTTAACACTTCATTATAAACCTTGGATCTAAAGATGTTACAGATATTCATGGCTTGACAACGCTTTCGTTTTTACACCCTTATAATTGAGGATCCTAATCCCAGTAAAACTAGAAGTCAAGAATCAAGGGGTACAATGATATATTTGGATGTGAGTCGATATGCCGAGAAGCACGTAATCCAAGCTGACTAGTTGTCTCGAGGAATGCGAAAAAAGGCTAACCCACTCGTAATCTGGTGCGGATGCATGACCGAGAGCATTCATCTATGCTGTATCTAGTAAAACTAATGAGGTAAGTATCAATTTCGTAGACTTGGAGAACTTCTGTTACGGATAAATCGCCGTTATCAACTCGTCCATGACAAAACGTTTGCTGGCCTCCAGAACGCAAGATAATCTCGGTGCAAACAAAGGCATGATGAGATTCCATATAAGTACTTCAGAAGGAGTTGCATTCTTGTACACAACCACACCTGGTTCTTTTGATAACTGTGTGATCAGTCTGATTCCGAGTTTGAGTTGCAAATGCGAGAAATCAAGTCGCACATCGGTAATGGCTTTGTGAGAACTTGAGCAAGAGACAGTCTGTGATCGGTACAAACTTGCAGAAGGCGGTCACCGTTGTCTGACTTTTGACCAGTGATCCCCGAGTGTCGCTCAAGATATCACACTGTATAGTCAGACGCTGAGTTATCACGCCGAAATCTTCGATCAGCACTCCAATATCCCTCGAACACGTCTTTCTAAGATGGTCTAAATAATGTTAAAACCCATTCCTGGTGGAATCCGTGTTCTAGTCTTTCGAAGCCGAATGCATCTGCCAGAAACCATCAGTAATAATCTGCTGCAAATGAGCACAAACCAGTCACCAGTGTTATGACCTTGACGTCTGGTTTTTCTACCACACGATTTATCTACCAATCCGAATACGACTTATACGAATCTTCACACTAGGTCAACCAATGACGTTCAACCGATGTGGGCAGTTTAGCGTCTTTATTGGTCCTATGTCCTCCGAGCTCTTCCACTTGAGTCCAGAAAACAATACCAGCTTCCGTAATATGAATCGAATCAGAGCAGATTGTTTATTTCAGACATACCCGGTTTATATATCAATCAGACAGACCACAACGTACCATAAAATAGAAAATAACATGTGTACACAAATAAGCCAAAAAGTGGTTGTGAACGAGGGGGACAGTAATTAATAGACTGAGCATGGCTTAAGAATCATAAATCGTACAATAATAAAATATAGGTCAAAATAAAGCTTATAATACGAGGAATATAAATATACATAATGTAATTGTTGAATAGTTATAGAATATTAGTCCATTAGTAGTCCTCGGGAGTTACCTGTAATTTAATCTTCACTGGGTTATAACACCTCCCCGTTTTTTTGAAGATTCCAAGTTTAGATTCTGATTTTTTTTAAAATTTATGTGTATCTTTGAATTCTCCAACATTCTCCCCCTCCGCGAAATAATGTTGGGTCCTTATGGCTCCAAACTACAACTAATAGGACTTTGTTTAAACCATGTTTCTCGTATTGACTGGAGAATCCACTAAAAATGACTAGATGATGATGAATGACCTTCGACTTGAGGTCATTACTTTCAAATTCATTATGAATCTCGTTAGCAGATAATGAGTCATTAAGAAAGTCAACGCCTAACAAAATTAAATTAGATTTTTGACCATCATTTGAAACAGCCGACATATTTTCTTCATTTTTATAAGAAATCTCATCAAAATTCTGTGCATTATTATAAGAACCCATATCTAGTACATTGTCATGAGAAATTAGATAATCCAGTTCAATATAACTTTCTGTCTCCCAATTATTTTGAGTAACGTTTGGTACAATTGGGTTCATCGTGTTGCTCCAGTTATTTTCTGAATATGAGTCTCCATAGCTTTCTCGACTAAAATCACGTGGACCACAATTTTGTT